TGTATTGTACGTCTTATACATATATACTAATTCAAATTGACCGAAAACACTTCAAATATTGCCTCGTCTAGTACACTTGAAATTGGAAAATTTTGATCTTTTCAAATTTCTCTAATTTTATGTTAATATATGACACTTGGTCAGACTTGATGAATTCGACTGTTGGTCATGAGCTTAAATAGACCTTATGACAGTAGAAACTGATCTGCAATACGACGAAAAATAATTAGTAAATACACGTATCATGAAGACATGTTGTTTTGATTCACGGATTTTGTTTTCTATATCACTTCTTAATATCTGTTCCTGCAATTGCAAAAGAAACAATAAGACAACAACAGAAAGGTTACAAATCTTCATCTTTTATTAATCTTTTGTGATTTTCTTCGACCTATTGCAACAACGTCATTTCAACATATAAAAAAAAATAAAAACTGAACATCTACATCTAGAATAACATGGTAAAACAAACAATAGCTTTTTTTCAATGTTTACGGATTAGATCTTCGATTACCATATTTTGTAATTAATTTGTCAATTTCTTTGCTCATCACAAAAAAGATGAAGATAAATAAAAGACCAAGACAAATTACAAAAATTGCAGTTTGTCCTCTTATTGCGTTATTAAAGTAGCCGTATGCCACGCCACTTATTGATGCAATTAATACTGCGTCCAATATGTAGAACATATGTCTTGGTACTATAAGAAAAAAAGAAATATTAAGCTACGTCACTATATAGGTGTGAGGAAAAAAGCTGGATCGTGCGACAACTAAGAGTATTAGGTATAGTAATTTTTCTCCAAACACATAGTAAAAAATCTGGATTGATTTTCAAACTTTTCTCAATGAAAGTTCAATGTATTTATAGCAATAAAGCAAAACAAAAAAAAGCAAAAACTGGCAGCCGAAACCTAATTATCTTACACACAAATATTTTTATTCCATTTTATAATGTTCCTGACGATCATTATCGATCCAGTTGAAGAAGTTGAATGAGAATGTTCCTGTTACAAAGAAAAAAAAGAAACCATTTATGAGGTTTTTTTTTATTAAGGAAACGGCCGTGGTGTAGTTCCGGTCGAAACCAAAATCTTGACTCTTACTTTTACGAGAATACAAACTTTGTAACATTGCATAGAACGTTTTCTTTTTTTATTTGAAACGGTTGATTTATCAAGTTCTTTTCATGCACAACTATTTTGTTGAACACAAGCAAATAAGTAATGAAAATATTCGAAAACAGTCCGAAGTTTTCTATGGAATATTACATTACTTGTATTTTTGTAAGAGTAAGAGTCAAGAGGCTCACATTTTGGTAAAGAATAATTAGGAATCAGCATATACCCATACTGATAATAATATACTCTTCCAATAATTTTATAAATTATTTTGATTAAAATAAAAATTTTACCAGCAAACTTCAAGAGAATATGCTTACTATTGACGAGTGTAAACCACTCATGAAATTTTTTTGATATTCTATTTATATTTCAATGAATCTTGAAGGCGTTACTTACTTGATCTTGCGTACGAATCACTCTGTGGTTGAATATTCGAAGATTGTGGTTGATCAACACGTGCTTTATAATCTGATGTCATATTGTCGTTATTTTGAACATTTGATGTCATATTGTTGTTATTGTTAACATTTACTTTCATATTCTTGTTATTTTCAACAATTGGTGTTCGTGGTGCATAATTAATTGCAAGCCTTGGTGATGATGATGCTTCATGACCATTTGTTGTTGATTGTGTAATATTTGTTGCCGAATATGGTGCTTGCAAATTTGATCCATTCTGCAATAGAAGCCAAACGTATATGTAAAAAATTAAAGCTACAGTTATTGTCACGATATCAAATAAGATTTTTTTTTATTTACTGAAGCAATTGTTCATTGAAAAACCATTTGCACCTGAAAAAAAGTTCTAAAATACAATATTAAATATGGCATTCTTACTTGGATCACTTGAAGTTCATGAAGTAGTTCTCGATTAAATGGATCATTTGCCAATTGAAGAAGTACCTAAAATAATTCATGAAGTAGATATTATTTTATTAGTTTAATTATTTTTTTAGTTAACAATAGCTATAGTTTACTTTTTTGAATTCACTTTCCAATTCTGTTACATTGATATCCATAGCAAATGTGAAATTCCAAACAAAAACTAGTACGTGTTGTTTAACCCTTTCAATCTCGTCATTTTAGTGCGTTCTGCACGAACATGGAAAAATATAGTTTAATCTCTCTCTCTTGTGTTCAGCTATCACAATCATATGTTTTCGAATTTTAGATTTATTATTCGTATTCATACGAAGTGATTTTCATTTGAACATATCATATGATATTCGTCGTCTAAGAAGACGAAAGAACGCAAAAGATTTCTTTTTCGTTCTGCATACCATCTCGTAGATGCCATGCGGGATTGAAAGGGTTAAAACCGAAACCAAAATTTCCAATAGAAATCTGAAATGAGAAAAAAAATACTTCTTATATTCATCTAAAACTAAAATGTATACAAAAAAGAGTAAAGCAAACAACTTTTAAATAATTAACCCAGAAAGACAAGCAAATGACGTTTTGAACGTGTCGGAGTATGAACAAGGCAATTTCTTCCAGAGAAGCGTAAATGCAGCATTTTTTCACAAATGTATATAACTTCAATTGTGTCCGTGCACTTAAACTAATAGGTATAATACTAGAAAGAAATAAATGAGACCATTGTGCATATAGAACAAACAGAATTAGTCGACTAAGGCCCCAAACAGACTGAAAAAAA